AAATACTAGAAACTATAGATTAATTCGATGCAAAGAAAAGAAAAGAAACTATAGATTAATTTAGGAACACTGGTAATCTGGACCTCCAATAACCAAAACACATACTTGACCCTCAGAGGCTCCAAAAGGTATTGATCAATGCATTATCCCCCTTTGTTTAAACTTGCAATTCTTATTACTAATGCTATCAGCTTTTGCTTATTCTATTTTCCCATATTGAATAAAAAGCACTTAATGTTAGTTGCTTGCTTTGGATATATATCTTTGTTTACATTGAACCTTTCAAACACGAATCTGTTTGGACTTTGTATTGCTCATCCTCTCTATAGAAGCAATGAGGCAGTTAACTTGCCAGTTTTGCATCAAAACATAGATTCAATGGACAAAATTTTACTCATTTATGACGTCTTTATGTTTGCCCGTGTTTTATTTACTTAAAATACATGTATTTGGAACTCTCTGCAGATTTGAACCATCTTCTGTAATCTATTGTAGCTGAACTAACCGCTGCTACTATAACTACTGTTATTGTCCCTGCCGAAGTTAGTCGAAAATCTGAATAGATTGATACAAAATTGAAATTTTACAACAGAAATGCTTGGGAGAAGACCATTAAGATCTTTCTACGTCTTGGAATTCCATTTCCCGGCATAGGATTAAGAAAGTTAATGTCAGAGTACCTAACAAAGCACCCCGTATTCAGCGCCCAACCCTCGGACCATGGCAAGCATCCCAATATGGAGGCTGATGCATTCTGTAAACAAGCACTGCAAGAAGTCGCACTAAGTGTCCTCCAAAAATTAGCAAGAACATAAGCCATTCTTTGCTTTTGACAAGGATAAATTAATTCGTCTTGTTAAGTACTGTCCTAAAGTTTTTTCAAAAGTACAGCTCATGACACTTGATTATTAGTTTCGAAAATATATTGTTGATATGCACTCTAACAAGGAATTTGGAGAATTGAATGGAATTGGTGAACTTGTACTGAAGTTTGTAACAAAAAAAAAAATAGTGTATCCGTTAGTTTACATGTTTGTGATTTTAGGATTAACTCTTCATGTTTCTACTGCTACGGTTGAAAGAATATTTTCTGCTATGAATATTGTGAAGAATCGACTACGTAATCAGATTGGAGACCAATTGATGAATGATAGCTTAATTGTGTACGTTGAAAAAGATGTATTTAATGAAATTAATAACGAGACAATTATACGGCGTTTTCAAAGTGTGAGAAGCCGTAACCAGAACCATAATCTTGGGTCCGCCCTTGGCTCCACCATTCCATCACGAGCGACCCCTGAGGTCTCTTTCTACCAGATGCACAGTTCTCTTCTATAACGATGAACAAATTTGGTGTGAGATTTGATTCTTGGTTACTGTCTTCATTGATGTTATATAACAATGAAATTTACATTTTTTATGTGTAGCTCTTGACCCTTAAGGAAGAAATGAAATTTATATCTTCATGACAATTTAATCCAGATGTGTAGGATTCAATTGTTTATTTTTGTATTATGTTTTCCATTTGAATTAGTAATTTGCACGTTTGCTGGATTAAAAAGATGGTGATTTTTTTGAGCTGCGGTTTTACTTTAGAAAAATTGTCTTGAATAATTGATTTCTTGTTTTAATGTAAGGTTTGTTGACAAAATTGGAGTTAGCTAGTGGGCTTTAACCATGCATTGGTAAAACACTTGTTCACATATCAGAAGTGCCAATGAGCTGCATAACTTGTTACAGCTTACTTATGTTCAACTGTGCANCATAACTTGTTACAGCTTACTTATGTTCAACTGTGCAGTATGATTTGGAGCTGATTTTGTGAAAAACTTCCATTTGTTTTTGAACTTAGTTGGATGTTGTGCTAAGGTTGAGAGTGTTTCGCTTGATTTTACTTCATAGGCATAGGCTCATCTGGGCTGAACTTCTCCGTCATATATCTCGGTGATTATCATTGTGCTTGTAATATGCACAGATGAACCTGGGTGTACGCAATATAGCCCAAATATTCACACATCTTTTCTGAATTCTCATTGGCAATATTTTCTAAAATATTGGCTTCACTCATTTCAAGTTGGTTGGTTGCTTAGCTTGGGTGATCTACATCCAATTAGCATCAAGCTTCATTGTTCCAGGTACTTTGGTGACCAAATATACTATTGGTGATTGTCGAGGTTATAAGTTTATCCTTCTAGAGGTAATTTTTTTTGAAACAGTATAACATATTCCACCTTTCATGATGGAAGAGGTCTCTTCATAAAAGATGCCAGATGAGGTAACTCTTCCAGAAATCGAAATCTTGCTTTTGCTTCTGGTAACTTGACTTTGCTTTCAATTACTTGATTTGGACTTAACTTGAAACCATCCTTAATAGCAATAATGTTTAAAATCTAGATATCAAATGAAGAGATTATTTTATATTTTTCTCATCATTAAATTCATGACCAAAACCCAAAGTTTGGCGTCGATTAAATTGTGCCCGCACTGAACGAATTTCCTTGCTCCGCCCCTGGTTTTTTGCTTCGAAACTTTCTACATCATGGATTAAGTTTAGTTGGTTTCTTCTTGTTAATTGAATTCAAGACTTTACCTTTTTATCTAGACAATTTTCACTGTAAAAAGAACAAATTTTCGTAAAGTAGTCATAAACCTGATGTTTTTCCCTTCTATTTTTTTTTTTTTACTTGGTGCTTTTGTTGCATTTCAATTTTAAGCAGAAAAAGTCACCCTTTGGTAAGTAATTTCTACCTTACGGTCAAGTAAATTTATTAAAAAGTGAAAATTTTAAGCTTCTTTTAGTTTGTGTCTTTCTTTGTGTTAATCAAACATGCAGGGCGTAGGTAAATGAACTCTGTAATAATGGTTAAAACGGCTTAGGCTTTTAAGTAGCTTTGGAAATATTTTTAGTTTTGTGCTTGAATATTCTATGTGATAGGAGAATTAAGATGGAACAAGTTGAACCTTTTTAATCATAGTAGAAACAACTAAGATATTAGAGTTACGATAGACAATCAATAATTATCCCAAGAGTGATTGTTTTGGGTATTTGAGTTTGACTGTGAATCAAAAGAGAAACATAAAAAATGATATGATGTTTAGAACTAGAGAGAGTGAGAACACCCATCAAATTGGAAGGCAAAATCTGTGAGTTACTATGCCAACTAAGTTTTATACTATAATGCACCGATGGGGGCATGTGTGTCCGACATGACACGTGTCGGATACGTCAATACATGATTTTTGAAAAATTTCAATACGACACTTCACTGACACGTTGATTAAATTTTTTGAAATTCTTCATTTGTATAGTATAATTTTAGTTTATAATTGTTATTAATTTTTTTTTTGTTAAAATCTTTTAAATATAAGTACGTATTTGTTATTTATAATAACTTTGTTTTTAAAATATATAATATTTTTAATGAAAAAGAAAAATAATCATGGTAAAGTGTCCGAGGAGTGTCGGTATTCAACACGTGATGGACACGCCACTCTAGTTGAAGTGTTCGTGCTACAGATGTTTTCCGCTGTTATTAATTATTGTGTTGTTAAAGAAATGTCTATAAGATGAATATAAAAGAAATGAGTTATCAAGATACTGAATGTTAGGATAAATAATGAGGATAAGAGGTGAACACGTTAATTGATAATTAATTAAGGCATTGACGACTTAAATAGATGGGTTGTTCTTTGTAGACCTAAGGAAGCTCTTACAAGGCACAAGATTGATGTAATTTTAATTGGACAAATTACAATGGGTTGTACAAAATTAACATGGCCTGACTTGGTTGTAAAAAATTTGGATCAAACGGAGTGCTGAAGAGGATTAACGTTGATTACAATTTTATACATGTTCAATCTAGTTGGATTGTACTCTTTTCCTTTTTTTTTTTTAATAATTGAAATATGCACAAGAATATTCCCGGCCGTCAATTTTATATGTCAATATCTGAATTTAGATGATCTGTCATTATTAGGCTTTTACTTTTTGACATTACACTGAGATGAACTTGAGTTGGAACATCAAAATCTTTATGATAATGAAGCTGACAAATTGCTTTACTTTGTTGTAGGCAAGACCAAAACCTGCAGAAGACTATTTCATCACATTGGTGAATGATTTCTTGACCTGGTGCTTGCATGCCATTAGCTGTTCTATTTGCTAATATATGCTGCTCTTTTTGAAAAGTTTGTCAATGTTTGAGGATAACATCTGGAGATGCTGAATTTAGTCAAATCCAATACGACTTTTAACATAATCCAGTTCATTAGAAAGATTCAAACAACTTTTGCAGTGTGGGGATTTTGCCATTTTACATCATCATCGGACTGGAATCCTAAATCCCCAGTCTTTCATTCAAGTTCGGTAAAGGGGGTTCCTCGAAAAAATGTGGGTGTCTTTTGGGATTTGGATAACAAGCCACCAAAATCATTTCCTCCATATGATGCTGCCATTAGGTTAAAGAAGGCCACAGAAGAATTTGGGTCCGTTAAATACATGATAGCTTATGCCAATCATCATGCTTTTCGATATGTCCCCCCTACAGTTAGGGCACAGAGGGGGGAGAGTAAAGCACTGAATGGGCTGGAAAATATGGGTATTGTCAAGCCAGATGAACCATATACATGTCGAGTTTGTGGGAGAAGATTTTATAATAATGAGAAGTTTATTAATCATTTCAAGCAAATTCATGAACGTGAGCAGATGAAAAGGGTAAATCAGATCGAGTCTGCACGAGGGAAGAGGAGGGTAAACTTGGTGGCAAAGAATGCCATGAAGATGGAGAAGTATAGAAATGCTGCTAGGGATATTTTGACTCCAAAAGTGGGGTATGGGTTGATGGATGAATTGAAACGGGCTGGGGTTTGGGTTGGGAAGGTTTCTGACAAGCCACAGGCAGCCGACTCTGCATTGAGAAATCATATGGTGGATATTATGGACAGAAGAATGGTTGAGTGTATTGTTCTGGTGTCGGATGATTCAGATTTTGTAGAGATTTTGAAGGAAGCGAGATTAAGGTGTTTGAAGACAGTGGTTGTGGGTGATAGCAATGATGGGGCTCTCAAAAGGACTGCTGATGCTGCATTTTCATGGCAGGAGATCATGATGGGGAAGGCTAAGAAAGAGGCTGTATCAGTTTTGGGGCGGTGGAAGGACCGTGATATTTTGAAAAGATTGGAATGGAGTTTTGATCCAGAAACAGAGGGAGATTTGTTTCGTCCTGAAGTTTTGAGTGAGGACTCTGATTTTGAATGTTTTCTTCCTGGAGAAAGCGATGCTTCTGTATCAAAGAGAAGTAATGGTGCTTGGTGGGAACTGGAGTCCAGTAATGAAGATGCAGAAAAGCCTTGAATGTTACTGAAGTAAATGTTTGACAAAAGGGTTTTTGTGGTTCTGATCAATTGTAACAGTTCCTTCCCAATTGTTAGCATGTCACACATTCTGGAAGTAGTAGAAGTCTCGCCTCACTGTTTTATTGTGAAACTATTGCTTCATTTTTTGGAAGATTCAAACTGGCAACGGCAGTCCAAGGGGTGTAGGAGGAGCAATTTTCAAGCTACTTGAGCCATATGGGTGCTACAAAAAGCTGTAAGTTCGAAGAGGCTGTGTTAACAGAAGGATATAGCTCAACAACCTCTTAATCACAATTTCATTGCTATTAGACCGACAATTTTCCGTTGTTGAAAGTTTTTGGTTGAGTGTTTTCGGGTTGTGCATGAAATCTGTCAAATTATGTTGACAGGGAAGATCATTACAGCTTTTTATTGACTTAGCCATTGGAGCTTCAATCTATTTATTGGGATTGCATGTTGGGTTTCTCTTTACTGTAATTTCTACAACTTCACCGCAATGAAAAGTTGATATATGTTAACTTTGAAATTTTGGTTGAATGTTATACTATTTGAGTGTTGTATTCTTTAAAATTTTCGTGTTTTGTTCTATTCTATTCAGTATAATGGACGTGTTACCACACTATTAAGAAACTTAAGATTTTCTGTTAAGAGTTTCAATTTCTGCCTTGCCTTAAGAATATTCTCCATCGTCACTAGCCTTTGAGTATGATTAGCTTGTATAAAAGTTCGAAACAATATTGTTAGAATTTCTGGAGATCCATGAGTTGTAAATTGAAACAGCCAAAGCCTATTAAAACAACACGAGAGAATAATTCCAACCTTGGATTGATTAGTCTTAGGAGAAACAGTTCTAAAGACCTACCTTATATGTAGTTGTAATAGGCTTCCTATTGGGATTTTGATCATACAAGTAGCTGAGCAGAGGAGGGAAATTGGTATAAAGATCAATATCGTTGCAATAAAAATCAATATTTAATCAAAGGTTCTTTTTCAACTGTTGAAAAGTGATCTCAGCTTGATCATATGACATACTCTCCCTTTTCATCAGTATTGCTACTATTGTAAAAAAATTATGTTTAAGGGCTTTATAATAATTAGTCGTCGAGCATTTCAAAGTATTCAGGGCCAGCCCAAGCCCGGATAAAAGATATATCTGTTGCTGGTTAAGCAGATGAATTTTATAGTTCAGCGATTCCCACTTTTATGTGATGAGCACTGGCTTCAATTTGAAGAGGGTATCACAAAATTTGCATAATGAAGTTGGCTTCATCTTAGAGGCGGATATCAATAGGATAGACACCGATGTCATATTTCAAATAATGGATTTGTTGGATGGACAGGGCTATGTAGAAGTGGGGACGATAAAATAATTTCTTGATTGGATATAACTCAATAGTCTTACAGAGGGCTTTACAAATTTTAAATCATGAATAAGTTGGCTTCAACTCTAGTTAAATATCAATTCCATAGACACTGATGTCATGTTTGATGTGTTAAATTTGTTAAAGTCGACCGGAATTTTGGGAAGGGGTGTGGAGGGAAAGCAGGAGTGGGATGGTAGAGAAATTTCCAATGACTCGACACAGTAACTGATGATTTTATTATACTTTCGGCTCAGCTCAACTCGACTCTCATTGGGACGGTTCCAGGCTGAGATAAGCTACATCGAAATGTTTTCGTCTGGGCTTTCTGGACCTTAAGTGGGCCGCTCCAAGCTCTCTTCAGCCATCCCAGTCCTGGCAGATTGACACTGCTAACATGCCTTGGATTTTATTGTACAAATAGGAACTTGTAGAATGCTATATGCAAAATAAATAGATCGTCCTTTATTTCAGCTGCAGGGTTGTTGCTAGATATAAAGAAACTCAGAACATTCTTTTAAAGGTTTCTGGTCATACATTAATAAGGTTGGTTGTGGTTTTTGTGTCCCAAATATAGGCAATTATAAACAGTGCAGAATTTTATTAATATAAACCAGAAGATTGTACAATGGACATTAAGATATTGATCTGTGTCACCTAGTTTTTAACTACCAGTGTACTGCAGCTATTCATTTTCTGATTTTATTGTTTTTATTTAGGTCTTTCTTTATATCACATTTATTTAATCCAACTAGAAGTAGCAGGAGTTTGTGTTTTGAATTAAAATGACTTTAACGTTGAATCTGTTTTTTGCAGTTGCCCGGTCGAAAAAGTCAAACCACAGCAAGCAAGACGAGGAAAGTACTTGTTGGGCTCTAACCTATTCAAAATAGGTTCTCAACCCTCTATCTGTAAGAACTAGGTCCTCGACCTTTTCCGTGAATTACCATCCACTGGGGGCTGGGAATCGATGCGATTTTTCTTTCACGTCATCAGCGACTTGAATCCTTAGACCTCTCTCTCGCAAGAGGAACTTGTTAAAAGTTGGTGTGAAAGAGTTTGTAGGGTAAAGTCTGTGGTTAAACTAAAACTGCCCACCTAAACATGTCCTACAAAGGTCATGTTTGGTGGACAGTATTGAACAAGAAAAACAAGTTAAAAATTTTGTTCGTCGTCCTATATCTAGTATTGCCCACCAAACGTGCCGTGTAAAACAGATGAACTCCTAAATTCAATGAATGTTGCAAGATTTTACAAAAATGCCTTGCTCTAATGTCCAACGTGATATCAGTTAGGCCATAAATGGTGATTTTAATTGCTCCCATTACATATAAAATATACAAACCAGCACTTTCTTCTACAACGAATGAAGATATTACCAAACTGTAGTTGCAAATATTTACTGGTTTTAATTCATTTTGCCACCAAATTTCTTGGAATTTTTACATTTTCTGCCCTCTCCTTTACTTCAATTTAATTTAGTTTAGATTAGAGTTATGCTATAAGTATATCAAGGGATACATAAGGGTGTTCATAATGGACACCCGGCGCTAGCAATTAAAATCACCATTTATGGCCTAACTGATATCAGGTTGGACATTAGAGCAAGGCATTTTTGTAAAATCTTGCAACATTCATTGAATTTAGGAGTTCATCTGTTTTACTGGGACCTGCACTACATCCAATAGGGGAGCGCCGGGTGTCCATTAGGGACACCCTTATGTACCCCCTAATGTACACTTAGCATTTTCCTTTAGTTTATACTTCTGACTTCTTTTATCAGTAATCAATTCTGAATTAATTTCTGTGTTTCTATCTCTCCAAATTATTGCTATATATATTGTTCTTGAAGGCATGGAACACAACAGCAAACACTTCGTCAAGAAAGAGAGATTCAGTATTTTCTGCCAAAATTTTAGAAATTTTTGTTGAAAAAGTCGCCTACTCAACTTGTAATCTTGCGTTCTCTTATCACTTTTTTTTTTTCATTTTTCATTCTTTTCTTGTTTGATTTAAACGCCATTGATGAGTACATGTTTGGTTAGGCTTAAAAAAGCACGACTTTTGGTTTATGAACACCTTTGTATAAGTTACTTTTTCTTGCTTTGCTGTCAAAAATAAATAACTTGCTTATTTTCAAACTTACTTGCATGTGAACTTTTTATGCTTAGCCAAATATGCTCTAGTATGTTATATATAAATAGATGGCATGTTTGATATGAAATACTTATCAGCACTGCAGTGGATCACGGATGAGAATGTAAACTAATTTTTCATCGGTGATCCTGTCGAGTCGAGCATATCAAACATGTCTAGGGTGTATTCTGGACTAAAATTTTTCGTTTCTTGATTTGTTGTGTGGTTTTCAGGGCATTCAAGAAAATGAATTACAATGCTAAAAGTTCAAAACTTGAGTTGAAACAGAATTTATCCCCACCAAGGGCAAATCTACGAGTTCAATCCTCCAACAGATCTATTTCACCTATCGAGATATCGCCTCGAAGTTCATGCGGATCCCGAGAAATGAGCCCAAACGACACTTTGTGCTACTCGAGTAGCCCCGAGGCCACTTCCATGATGCTTGTCGGGTGTCCTCGATGTCTCATGTACGTAATGCTATTCGCAAAGGATCCGAAATGCCCCAAATGTAAAAGCACTGTTTTGCTTGATTTTCTGCATGAAGACAGTAGCAAGAAATCTAAGAAGTGAAGAGCGTTTTATCCTTTACCGAATCTCAATCAAGGGATATTCCTAGTACTCCTATGTTTTAGGTTTTGTTGGACTTGTAAAATTTTAAGGTATGTGTATTTTCTTAGTTGTATTAATAACTAACTCAGTCAGTCATTAAATATTTGGTATGTTGAGTTGACCTGAACTAAACAACATAGAACATGCTATATGTGCAGAATTTTTTTACTGAATCCCTTATCGTCTACTCACAATAGGGGATGAGGACCACATCGTGGGATTTTTTATTCATGCGGGATCCACGTGCATGTGAGAGAGGTAAACAATTCGGTAGAAAGATTTATGTACAAATATCTTTACCCAAACAGCATTAAGCAAGATAAACAAATGAGACATTTGTCAGTTGTCCAAATTAGTGTTCAACATAGCATAAGCAAACTATCCTTATGCATTATTGTCTTAATGCTAATATTATCTTTTAATTTTCAATTTTGTGTTAAACTGCTAATTGCTTATTTGAGAATGCACCAAATGAAATCAAATTGGATGTCACCTAAGCCAAATTAGTTGTCACATTTTTCCTGATCAAGTAAGGCAAATCGTCATGCATAGTAGTGTGAGATGAAGTACAAGCCACGTTGACCATGAACTATGATGTGTTAGATGGGTCACAACCGATTAAAAGAGCTGGTTGATCCAAAGGTCGAAGTCGGTTAGCCCTGACCCATGTCCCCAAACACAATGACAAACTAAGTCATACTCTTATGAACTTTTTATCCTCTTGTACTACATATTTCTTCTTTATTTCAAGTCTATTTATCATAAAGAATTTTCCATTTGTACAAAAACGGAATTGCAAGAAATTTTCCGGAACACTCATATGGGGGTAGGTCCCATGTGAGTAAAATATTGCAAAAAAAAAAAGGGCCTCACCTGTGTGTGTGTGTGTGTGTTATGTTGTATTTTCTGTACAAACATCATCTCTCTTATCATAATGAGTATTATCCATCAATATGATTTTTTATTTGGGTGCCATTACAATTTTTTTTTTAATTACACCATGTTTTTAAATATTTTTTTATTTGCTAAATTGGACATAAATAACCACTTAATTATCTATTTAATTCTTATTATTTCGATATTTTAACGTTAATTAATGAGAATGGGTTCTTGAATTTGATGACAATTCCATTTGGATTAATCTACTTGTACATTAAAGTTGACATAAAGGATGACATGATGGGAGTAAGGGTGGGGCTCACGATACTGTAGTATGAGACTCACCTCACTCACATTATGTTATCCTTTATGTCACCCCCAATGTACCCCTAGCATTTTCCATTCCATTTAGGCTTTTGCATGTATCTGGATGTAAATTGAGCATTCTTACTTCACCAAGAAATTAAAAATTAGTATTTTTTTAAATATCAATTAGAAAAAAAATAAATGGAAGTCTGGAAATCAAGAGTAAAAAACTCAAATTTTTATTCCACTAATAAAAATCCTCCCACCAATAGCCATATCCATGGATATCTCAAGAATGCTTAATTTCATTCATCATCATCACTATTCTTGTAGGTTAAGTACATTACAAATTTGAAAACAGCAAATTTTTGTAAAATAGAAACAGACAATAACTAAGAAAAATATGCGAAAAATGGTTTTTTTTTTTTTCTATCTCCGTTATTATCGGGTCTGTCTTTTCTTGGCCACCCAATGTTCAATACATATTTTCATTTTTAATCACTTTCAAATGCATTCCATCAAAGATTTTGCTATTTGTACACCGAGATGTCACATCCCCTCACAAAAAGGGGGACCCACATCCCAAAAAAAAAAATTCGTGGACCCCTCTATTGTGAGGGGACTGTTCATCGAGGTATCAATTCCAACGTATATATAGCCAAACCCATTCCATCAATAAGATTTCAGAAAAATTGTAGTGAAAAAAAGGTACAAGTGTGTTCAAGGGAGAGGGGAAGAGACTGGTGTACTATTTATTTGTGTTTGAGAGAGAAGGGTGTACCATTTATTTGTATTTAATGGACTAGGCTATATTGGTAACATAATCGTAGTAATTATCAAAAATATTTTAATCGGGATCGTTCCTCCTACTCATAAATTTGACACACTTATTTGATAAATAATCATGACACTCAATATGTATCTGTTTGGGAGCGATTTTTATAAGATTTTAATCCAATCCGTTGAAAATGTAGGTGGATCCCATTTATACAGTCATTATTGACTCAACATTAATCAAATTACAAGAAATATCATTTTCTCAAGAAGAATGAATTAAATGTTCAAAGGGGCACATTGTTCATTCTACTTGATTCGGTCAATCATTGTAATTGTCCTATCATTGACTTACACTATATAACAGTATAACATTCGCTAAAAAATTGATAAAAATCACCCACATAGATGGGCTATATAATTTATTCATAATACTCTTCTAAAACATTTAAAACTTCATACTCCTCTCGTCTCTCTTATGAGGAGCTTAGCTCTAATAGGGCTCGGCTACTATTGCTCGAGACTTTCTTTCGTCCATCATAGAATATCTGTGTTATACTCTATTTTTAGAGGTCTAGCGACAATATAACCATTCATATCAAGTAAATATATCACATCTGTACTTCAAAGTTGTCCACTCGCAATTAGCAGATAGAAAGGTTGAACTATATAACATCAAACAATATTAAAAAATATTAATATTTTTCATTCTATTATACAACTCTTTTTACTACTAAATAAATTGTACATTTTAAGAACTCAAGACACATCTCCAAGTGATAAAAGAGGAAGGTGGAAAAAACTTCATCTTTGCTTGAGGCGCGTCAAATGTTCGAATCTTGAAATATGGATTTGATCATTGGGTAAGTACAAGTGTACAAATACTCTTCCATCATGTACCATTGGATGTATAATCTGCGATTTACCTCCTTCACCAAGGCTCAGGGCATGGCAGGTGAGGGCCGCCAAGACATCTTTTTTTTTTCACAATTAGAATAGTGCCCCAAGTGGAAGTCTCCTCTTCGTTTGTTGTTGTGTTTTAAATTATTTGAATTAATTAATTAATTAATTACATCCGCCACGTAAACCCTTTTAAATATTCATTAAATTACTTAAGCCGGCGGATTTATTTCCTATGTCGTTCTTTTCTCAATAATTGGGATCCAATCCCTAGCCCCATCGAAAAATATGGTCCTTGTCTCGTATTCGTCCCTATTTCTATTTTTAATTTTATTCTGAGTTATGAATTCAAAATAATTTTTTAAAAAAATAAAAGTAATTAAAAAGTAAAGGGGGAAATGGGATAAAAAAAGTTGGTATATTTTAACCAATGTTTTAAAAATCGATCCGAACATCGGCTTGAAAAAGAAAGAGGGTTAATGATCAAATGGTTGAATGAGGGTCGAACCGGTATCAAACCGGATGCCAAATTAAATACATAACTATACACATAAATTGTAAAATATTATAAATACAATAGATTTTTTTATTTTAGTTTACTAATTTAAAGTAAATATAAAATCCACGTTGGTTAATTAAATTAATTATTAATTTATTTTATACCTTCAAAAACTAACAATTAATATGATGAAAATAATTTGCTTTGTTCAAATTGAGGTCTATGAGTTGTTAATCAAATAAACTATGAAATAAATATTAATTGGACAAAAACCTCATCCCCCATCGAAAGATCAAAAAAAAGTGGAAGAGGAGATCTCTTAAAAAGGCACTTCACTTGTATAGAACTCTATATTGGGGCCATGAGTAAGAACGGTGGGCCAATCAAAATACTTGAAAATTGAGGAAATTACATCTACTAAAGCATTTCAACTTCTCATTTCAAAAATAAGATTTACAAGTTTTTTATTCAAAATTTAGATTATAATTAATTATTGAATATTTATATTCTTCAATATTAATAATATTATAAAATAAAATAAATCTAGAAACCACCCCCGACCCTAAATAATTTCCATCCTTTTTCTCTTTCTTATTTTTCCATCCTATCCTCCGTCTTCCCTCTCCGGCTACCAAACCACCACCAAGTGGTGCCACTCTCTCCGACAAAGTCGAGCACAGAGTCGCTTTGCTGGAGAGTGCAACACTCGCAGCTGTGAACGCCCTTCACAGCGTGCTTTATAGCTTTTTGAGGCACTTCGCAACGATGCTCGGTGCCGCTGCGAAGTGCCTTTCACATTGTCCTCTAGCTCAAGGCAATCTACTCGGCACAAGCGTGTACCGAGACCTGTTGTTTTCAAGTCCCTTCTTCCCCGCTGCAGGCGCTATTCAATCTAGCCGGCGAAAAGCGAGACAACATATGATGTTTTTGGGGGTGGTGTCAAGTCGATCTTACCGATCGAAGTTTTTGGTAGTGAGGATGGTGGTGATAGGGTCTCCAGGGACCTTGGCGGTGGGGAGACATTTTGCTGGTTATTGGTGCTGCTGTGGTGTTGGTGCGGTGATGGGTCACGGCGGTGGTGGTACAGGTTGTGATAGTGATGTTACAGGTGATGGTGGTGGATTTGGTTGTAGTGGTGAGGTGTTGGTTTTGATTTTTGTTGTTGGAATGGTGGTGGTGGTTTTCATATTTTGGTGGTGTTGGGGGTTTGGATTGATTTTTGTTGATTGTGTAGGTGGAGTTGCTGGCGGTGGCGGTGGCTGTGAGGGTTGGTGATGATAGTGGTGGTCATGGCGGTGGTGCGTTGGTTGTACGTGGGGTGCGCATAGGGTAGGGAGTTTGTGACCTAAAATTTTGAATTGTGACTTTAATAATTGTGATTTGTGACCAATAAATTGGATATTTTGTGACAAATAAATAATATGTACCTAAAAATTAATATGTGACTAATTAATTTGATAGATTCATGATCGATGAATAAATTGTGACGTATAAATTTTTTATTTGTAATTTATGAAAAAATTGTGACCTATAAAATTTTTGAATTGTGACCGTAAAATAATTTTTGACATATGAAAATTGTGATTCGTGACTAATTATATGAAATTTGTGTCCAAATTAAATGGAATTGTGATATTAATATATTTAATTAATAAAATATATGTTTAATTAATTAATTTATAAATAAAATTTAAAAAAGTCTGAGATTTGAAATTTTAAATATAATCTCTTAAATTTGAAATTGGTAAAATTAAATCCCTTAGTTATGAAATATTCCCTTGAAAATTTGTGGAAATTATATCTCAAGTTAAAGTATCCAATTCAAAAATCAAGTTTAAGAATTTTTTGTTCAATTATCATATGATTTTTTTAAATATTATAAAATTAAGTTTTCATTTTCAAACTTTAATCAAATTTTCTTATTTTAATCTCTCTACCTTCTTCCTTTTCGTGCTTCTCTATCTATTTTCTCCTTCATTTATCAATCCCACCGAAAGACGAGGAGGTGCCACTAGAAGACATCATCGAGTGGCACGACGATGTTGTTACGCGATGACGCGTTGTAGTAGTAATGTTGTGCGCTCTATCGTTCACAGAGATAGTGCCGAGACTACTACGAACTCGCAGCAACATTGCCCTGCGGTGCACCCGTTGTTGCAACAAACAAAAAAAAAATTGTTGAAGGAGTTTGGGGTGATTACGTTCTCCTCCGATTTGATTGCTTAGCTGGAGCCGCTATGAAGAGTCGTCTTCTCCGCTGGAAGGGAGAAATCTGGTGGTGGTTTTGGGGTGTTTTTCTTTTAAAGTAACTCTTAAATCGAATTTAAAATTGATTTTGTGGCTACAATCCAGAACTGAAACAAAATCACATAGTTCTCAATTTTGAGAACCAAAATATATTAATTTTTAACTCGAATGGAATCGAGTCGGACAGTGCAAGTCGTTCGAGTTGTTTCGTGTAAAATACTAAAATGTACACCTCTACAGGAAAATATATAAGAAACCTATTTACGAGTAAACGTTCCCATAATTTTCTATTAAATTTTAGAAAGAAAATAGAATGTTTTAGGTTTTGAACTTTCTCTCTTATCATATATACTGAAAAATATCCAAATATTCTCTTTGATTCTCTCAGCCAGCCCGTAAACAAGTAGACTTTCGAAAAGTTGTTCCATCTTACGAATTTAATAAAGTAGTAAATTATTGAAAAAACGATATTATTGTTTTGTATAGATAAGTCGTAACGTAGTGGGCTGCATTTCAACGTATTACTATAAGTCCGGCGTATTTGACTTATAATTCAATGTAATTAATTCTAATTTTAAATTTGACTAAAAAATGAAAGTGGACCCACCATAATTAAAGCACTAAACCCACGAGTACAAAACTATACAGTAAAAATTAAAATAGAAGCTATGAGAAAAAATTGACCAAATCAAAGGCATTCAACTTTGACCTAACCTTTTTTATACGAAAGGAAAAATATAAGGCAAAATCTTATAAAATAACCATCATGTTGTGTGACCAAATAAAAAAAGAAAAAAGAAAAATGCGGCTTTTTTTTTACTTAGGTTCATTCTTGATAAATTTACAAATCATTTACAATGAGAATTAATAAGAGTAGTGGATTCCACAAAATGTATGAATAATAAATAAGTAATGATTATAAATGTATGGTTAATATTAATATTTGATTTTGGCTTGCGACCCAAGTATTCTAGTCCACAGACAAACAGTCGATTCAAGGCATTGAAACAAGGTCTAACTTTTAGGATCACAAATTTTTTTGATTGATTGTCGTGATATGCAGTACAATTTCTGATGCTAAGAAGGATCTCCAGAAGAAGCAATATTAGTTGATTAACTTGACTTACTAAAGGCTAATATTAGAATTTTGGGTGCTAGTGAGAAAATTTAGAAACTCATAATTATTTTGACTTTTTTTTTTTTTAAATCTTGTTCGATATTGTATATTAGCCTATCAATAACAATACAAACTTGTAAGTTCCTCTATTACTTGTGTTGTGCGCTTGAAAGATTCTCAAACTGTTATTTCATAGTTCAATAGGCTTTTAAACTGTTCACGAAAATTAGAGACACTTGAAGACGCTCAATAACATTGGAAATATTCGCGTTAACCTACCTAATAACTTGATACATTTTCGAGGTGCCTCTAAGAAAGGAAATAGGGATACGGATAGAGAAATGGACGAGGATATAGTCGAGAAAAAATAACTTTATAGTGAACGATGAAAGATAATAGATCATGGTTGATTAAAAAAATCTCTTAAAATTTTACTTTAATTATTTATTACTAAAAACTGTATCCCAAAGTACAATCCCGTGTTCTTTGACTGGGAAAGTAAGAACGCTGATTCATCCCATTTGCACCTTACAACCCTCTATAAAATCAATCTCAATCTCCCATTTTTTTCTTGCCAAGAAGCAAAACCGAACTTATTTTTTCTCCATTTGATCACGGATCCAAAAATTTCTCAATTTATTGCCAAATTCGTGAATTCAGTCAAAATCCCAGCTCATGGATCTTGAAATTCTGAAACGGAATAGTGAATCTATAATAATCCGTGAAGTATGGTCCGAAAATCTCGAGTCCGAATTCAGATTGATTTCAACCCTAATCGATGAATACCCTTTTATTTCAATGGATACAGAATTTCCGGGTGTTATTTTCAAATCCTCAGGGGTGGAATCCAAGCACCACTACCACCGCCGTGGTAGGTCATTGCCGTCTCATCACTACCAGATCCTCAAGTCAAACGTTGACGTTTTGAATTTAATTCAGCTTGGTCTTACTCTTTCTGATGCTGCCGGGAATTTGCCGGATCTGGGATCCGGTCACCGGTTTATCTGGCAGTTCAATTTCTCAGACTTTGACGTGGAGCACGACTTACAAGCGCCGGACTCGATCGAGTTGTTGAAGAATCACGGAATTGACTTTGAGAAAAATCGACTTTCCGGGATAGACTCGGCGATTTTTGCGGAGTTGATAATGAGTTCGGGGCTAGTGTGTAATGACTCAGTGAGCTGGGTCACGTTTCATAGCGCATACGACTTCGGTTACCTCGTGAAGATTCTCACGCGCCGCCTGTTGCCGACGGATTTGACCGACTTTTTAGAAATTCTCAGGATCTATTTCGGGAATAACGTGTACGATGTGAAATATTTGATCCGGTTCTGCGAGAGTCTTTATGGCGGTCTGGACCGCGTTGCCAGTGCTTTGAAAGTAGACCGGGTTGTGGGCAAGTGTCATCAGGCCGGTTCAGATAGCTTGCTGACGTGGCACGCCTTTCAAAAGATTAGAGATGTTTACTTTGAGAAGCGTGGGCATGAGCAATACGCCGGCGTTTTATATGGATTAGAAGTGTATTGACTACTTTATTGGGATTATTTGTTAATAATCGATTAATCTAAGAAATTAATTTATTCTTTGGGGAAACTTGCTTGCTTGCTGACTTCGGAAATCCAATTAATTATCAATGTATTTCAAGATTTTGGAAGTTATATAACCTTAACTAATTAATTTTTGCATGAAAAAAAAAAAAAAACCAAATGTGGTGTATGCGTTATTCTTCGATACGTCGATCCGATTTAATTGGAAAGGAGAAGTTGAATAAAAATTTCATTAATATTTATGTGTTTAATCAATTATTATTTTAAATTTGATTATTAATTCATTATATGAGCATTGACTTGGAATTGAAAATTTTTACTATTTAAGTGAAATTAATAATTTATTGAGATGTTATTGTACTTCGAAGTAATTAGGATTACAAACTTGACCTCAGTAACACCATAAATTTTGTTTCAGTCACTTAGTTAACATCTATTTCTTTTATTGAATGGATAATGAGTAAAAACCTTTGCCGAGATGCGACGTATATTGTTGTCTTTCATGTTCAATATTTTGTAAAAAAAACAAAAAAAAAAGAATTTTAACTGAATGATCAATCTGAAATAAGGGACATGCTACACGTACATAATTTTTGGTACATAAGAATTATTCCTGAAATAAATAACAAACTAGATTTGAAGAACGCAGAGGCAGCTTCTTCTCTCAGCGCATCTGGAGGGCCGCCGCAGTGGCTCCGACCGGCTTTTCACAATCGACGCCAATATTCCAAATATCAGTAAATGCTTGAAAAATAATTTCAAGATAATCAGGTGAATTTAGCAGCAAAAAACAAGTGAGAAGCTCTTGATCATCTGCACAACAGATCATTTCAAGCATTGATCTGCAAAAATCTTCATATGGGTCCTTTAAATTCTTGACAATGGCAAGGCCGTCACATATTTTTGGGAACTGGTTTACCAATTTCGAGATTTTTCGTTCATTTCTTGCTTCACTCTACGTCAACTTTCGATCATTAGTTTATTTGAAAATCGATGAATTCGACTAAGTTTTCGGCTTTGGTTTTGGCTCGAAAGTTTCACTTGCCTTTTGCTTCACACCCAAATTTTTTTTCTTGAATTTCCATTATAGTTTATTTTGTTTTTGGGAATCTTTTATTATATTAATTTTAATGAAATTATCATATTTGTTATGGAAATTAAGCGGCATAACTTCGTTTTCAAATTATAGAAAATCGTCCTTTGAAAGGAGAGATTTCTTCGTGACATATGAATCATTGACATATAAATACAAATTCACGAGCAATCACAACCGCTAGATATTTGGCGACCAAAATTTTATTTCATTGCTATAAATTGTCACACAATGTGACATAATATCGCGACCCGTATAGAAAAATGAAGTCTCGAGTAGTTGTATAATCACTTAAACGAGTTAGACTAGAAATCAAACGACTATGTGCAATTTTAAACTCCAAATAATCCCTTATAACTTCATTGATATAAAAGAATTCTTTCCAATATAATCAAAGCACGTTATGGTGGGAAATTTACATATAAATACTATGATTTAAATAGAATTTTTTTTTTTATAACCGGATACTCACCTCAGTGGCTTTGAGGAGACTCGAACTAGTGACTCGCCTAAGATTTAAATAGAAATTGAAAAAAAATACTTAATTGTATTCTTAAATAACACAAATAAACAATAGTAAAAGACACAAAATAAGGGATCATAATTTATTATTGCATTCTCAAATTTACAATACGTTAAGAGAAAAAAAGGAAGCATAATGAAAAAGTACTGGCTTCATAGTATTTAACAATGTTCTAAACGGCGTAGTAATGCGTTGCGAGACGTCGAGATTGAGAATCAAGAATCACAAGTTTGGGTTTGTCGATGTAAAAAATAAGCGACATAATGCGTTTCGTATTTTTATATTATTTTAATTATTTTTAAGGTATTAAATATATTTTTATATAAAAACATATATTTTTTAATATATCAAAAAAAATTTACCAAAAAAAAAAAGAAGAAGAAGAAGGGATTAGACAGGATAATAGGCGGCGCATTATGTCGCCTTTTAGAATAGAAACACATTTTTCGCGCATACCCCGAATTAGACTCTTTTTCCACCCACGTCGCTCCTAGGCAAGCATAGGCGGCGCATTTTCGCGCATTTTAGAACATGGATATTTAGAATGTCCTAACCACGGAATCCTAACACTGCATATTCTTGGCTAATATAAGAATATTTAACAAAAATGTGATTAATTACTGGTTAATCGTGACCGCACGTCCCTTCGCCTTCGTGCTAAAACGCGACTAGACAAGGACAGATTTTCACCCCAACGAAAATTGCCATGTCTCAATCCATCACTTCCTTCTAAATACACATGTTATCCCTTGGGTAAGTGCAAGTGTACAAGCAGTCTTCCACCCTATACTTTTGGAGGCATAACATGCGATTTACCTCTTTCACCAAGGTCCAGGGCAGGACAGGTGGGGGCCATCAAAGATGCGGCTCATCTTTTTTTTATAACATGCTGGTTGATGAACCCTAATATAACTTCGACGGGTTGCTTCAAATCTTGCGACATGTTTTTCCCAAATCTTACAAACAAAACGTTTCTTTGAAGTATGCTCGGTGGCCGTGGCCGGGGCAGTGGCAATTGGCATTGGCTACAAATAAAAAAAACGTAGCCTTTTTCACGAGAGGATGTTTTATCGAAATGTCAATGCGAATATACATTAATCTTGTCTTCAACGAGCCTAAAATTTCCTTTAACGATATATATTTTGGTGAAGATTCATCAAAGTTGGATACAGCACACAACGATGAGATTTCCTCTTCCAATAAAGCTATTTGTACACAGTTGAGTTACAAAAGTTGGATTACAAATGTGTTGGCAAAATCCAAACCGTCGATTTCAACTGATTTAAAAATTTGTTTTTAAAATGATTGGTGTAGTGTTATTTTGGCAACCAACTTTGTAACGTAACTTTGTACATAACCTTTTGGAGTCCCTATTACAAATGTTCGATTTAGTTGCATGTTCCTCAATGCTATATACATTTATTTTATAATGATTTGAATATGTTCTCACTTTTTAGTGTAACAATCGAGTTGAAACGATTAAAGAATAAGAGAAATACTTGAAACTTAATTGACTCTTTTCTTACTCAAGCTAATTTAAGCATACTCAATGTAGATGTTGTACCATGGGTCGAGGAGCATTGCCTTATGGACCGTTCGGATTTATTTATTTTTTTTAGATTTGGACAATTATTTTCCTGATTTAAGATGGTTGAATTTTTTTTATCATAAGAAAATAAAACTATTATTTCTAAAAGAATTCGTCCATAGTGATGGTCCGGCTTAGTGCAATTCCAATGAGAACCGACTAAATCAAATACAATTGGGAATTCTACACAGAGAATTGTTGGTCTTATGTATAGAGATAGAAATTGGTATGGTTTATTTCAATTATTTTACATATCAATAAATAATTATAAAGGGTTAACTGCTATGTAAGTTTTCTTTTATTTCTTCCATCTCTTTTGACAAAATAGTATTTATTATTACGAAAAATATTAATTATGTGGGTTTGTACAAACTAGTTTAATTATCGATTTAGTATGTAATTATTAAAATTTAATATGAAATTTAAATTAAATTTTATAACTAAAATCAAGAATCGAACCGAACTAAAATCGTGGACTTCTACAGAATACAAATTCCTTTTAGACCATCCGTCATCATCCTAACTTCTATAATTCAAAGTCAGGGACGGATTCAGAAAAATGACGTTTAGTGGGCTGAAATTAAAAAATAAAAATTGAATAAACTTCATCATAAGAGATACTCTACGTCACACGAGATATATCCCATGTTTGGTTTTAATAAAAAATCATATTTTTGGTAAATTTTGATAAAAGTTGTTGAAATATGTTGTTAAAAAGTCGAGGGTCCAATGAATTAAAATTAATTGTTGACTTTAATTTAAATTTAAATTTGATTTTTTAGTCGAACCAAACATAAGACATAGTTTAAAATGTTAAGCTCATGACACTGGTGACAATGTGTCAGATATTCAAGCAAGTACAAATCTAGATTTTGACCAAGTACTCTAAAATGTAGCTTCGTAGCTTTTTTTTTTTTTTGATATCCAGGTATCCCAATTTACACCAAACTATGTCCTGGACCACCTATCCCCGACCCCTCAGTGATGGGTGGAGGTTAACCGCAGGATATGCCCAAATTGACCAAAGTCCATGCACCCTTTATACTCCTGACCCCAAGGGAGCATTCCTTCATGGATATTACATCACCAAACTGCTCCACCCAAATTGAGTATTACAACACTCAACTGCTCCATCCACGAATCGAACTCCCCACCATGAACACTTGTCAACACTTATATGTCGACATTAATGTCAATCAAACAGTATACACGTGACATTTTCTCTATGTCGACATTAATGTCAATCAAACAGTATACACGTGACATTTTCCTTGAATTTTATGGGCGGTCGAAAATATTTAAGTATTTTCAATGATAGTTTATTGCAATTAAATTATTTTACATATTATTTGTATTAAATTGTTTATACTTTGAAGTATGGTTGGGGAACCAATTTATGGCATACGGACTTGGATCCAACATTGTATAATAATCAGTTGCGGGATATATGTCACTACATTTTTGATTGTCACATTACAATTTTCAACCGTTCTCATTTACTAAAATAATTACAAGTAAAATGACATAGAGTGTGTTTGGTAGGGATTTTTGGGGGAAGAATTGATTTTTGAATAGTGATTTGATGGGAAATGTGTGATTGAAAAAGAAGAAAAAAGTATTTATGTGATAAAAATATTATTTTATTGAAAAATGTATGGTTGAAAATGAGAATTGATTTACTGTAGAAAATGAAAATCTGTACCAAACAGGCCCATAAATACAATCCAATTCTACACTTTTTATATTTTTCCTACAAGTCGATGAAACAAATACGTT